GAACTGCTGTATGGAAAATGAATTTGCTCTATAAACTTTCACCCAAATCACAATAAAAACTTAAAAAAACTGTCCGACTTAAGCAGCGTGCCCCTTTAAGATCTATCTACATGGGACTAAGTGGACAACAGTGGACTTCGGGGGCAGTGAGTTTATGTCACTAGGGGAGGAGAAATTCGGACAACGGGAGGGAGGCAGTCAGTGCCGCAGGACTGCACTGCTGAATCGTGGTACCTTCTGCTGTGCACACACACAACCAAAAACAAAGGAAATGAAATGAAAAAGAAGCGCACACATGCTGCCCTTTACCCAGGGATCCTACCTCTGGGATGGGTCAAGGTCAGTCATGGCCACACTGATGTACCAGAATCCTCGCCTGTGTCCCGTCAGCAGGGGGAGTGGTTATGTCAATGACAGGCCAGCCCACTGATGGAACACTGGCCCACGCAGCTGTAAACAGCCAGGAACCCCATCACGACCTGCAAGCTAATGCTCAAACGGCACTTACTCTGGGCAGGTACGGCAACCATCACTGCCACTCCACAGTTTATAGAACTGAGGACCTGCCTAAGGGCACATGGTGAGGGTAAATGACACAGCCAGGTCTGGAAGCGGGTGGTCTGGCTTCAGGGTCTGGACTGTGGACCACGACATCCTGAGGCAGGAACCTCAAAGGAGGCGAGGGGAGGAGGTTAATTCTGGGGGAGGGGAGGGGAGTGATCTTCCTGCTCTGTAAAGTAACATGGCTACTTGTCCAGGGCATGTTCTTCAAAGGAGTGCTCCTGGTGCGCACCAGCGGGTTATGGCACGGTAGGTAAGGGATTCGGACGTAGACCTAGCTGCCTATAAACGATGGTGCCTGAAAGACCAGAAACCACAGACACAGAGCCTCAGAAAACAGGAAGGAAGGACTTCTCGCAGCATTTCTTTCCAGACTTTGGTTTTTTCAACCAAGTTGGGTATTACCTAGTTTCTAAAGCAAATCCTTTTTGTTTTGGGACCTTATACCTGCAGAAGGCTTCAGGACACAGGTACAGCCAAGCAGAAAAGCCAGTCCTGGAGCTTGAACCACTGGGCGGCAGGCCGTGGCTCTCACTGCTAAACACTTCCTCTGAGAAGAGGAAGTGGGCAGTGCCCACAACCAGGTGTGTGTGGCCCAGCTGGGATAGAGCAGGGACCGGGGGCAAGGCCAGCCACAGCGTTGTTCACAGAAGGCAGGGGCCCTGCCGAGAGTGCAGATCATCACCTGGAAACCTAATGCTGAAGGTGCCACCACAGTCTGCCCGACCCTCGGGATGAAAGGGCTGCAGGTGTGCCCGCTGTCACCGATGGGCCCTGCTAGGTCACGCGAGGTGCGTACCAGCCCAGGCTAAGTAACAGGGCTCTCAGCCCTAGGTTTCCAAGTGCACGATGGCAGGCTGGGCTGGACCGTGTGGTCCTGACAAGGGCTTCTGAACATGGGGAGGGCGACAGAAGGAAGAGAGGAGGGGAGGAAGTGGGCAGGCAGGGGACGGCCTCCTGGCCTCCACCACACTGTGTCCCCATGCTGTGCCTAACTTTCCAGGGACTCGCTGTCAACACTGGACAGGGGCCCTCCACCCAAGTCACCTCCAAGGCCACAACAAAGCCAGGGAAGGAGGCCGAGGAGAGGGAGGAAGCCACCAAAACACACAGTGGCTGGGAACTTCCCCTCAGCCAGGGGCTGGTCCCGTGGCCTAGTAAACAGGTTTCAAAACCATTAGTCAGCACTTTGGCCTGCAGATGTGCCACCTCAGGTTCCAGGTCCCTAAGCTGGTCACACAGGGTCCCCAACCCAGACCCAGGCTAAGTCACGCCGCCAGGAGCAGGATGCCAGCCGAGAACCCCAGGGGGCCATGCAGGCCTGAGGGGGCCAAGACAGTCCCCACTGCCTGCCCGCCAGCCTGGGCAGGCGGGGCCCCAACAGCCAGAGAGGAATCGACTGGGGCCCCTCCCCCTCCGGGCTGACGCAGAGAGAGGCTAGCCAATACGGAGACCAGAGCAATGCCCACAAACACAGGCAGCCCAGACAGGTGGGCCAGAGGCAAGCCGGGGACAGCGGCCTCCCACGGGTCATGGCCACTGGGTCACACGGCTCCAGGAGGTCCCCCGCCGGGTCACGTTCACCTGTCAGCCTGCCTCGCATGCCCCTGCTGAACTGTGGCTCTCAGCAACCCCTCCCCAGTGAGTCCATGAGGGAAGACAGGAGAACTGCCCACACCACCCAGGCCTAGGGTCCCCATCAGGCCTCACCTAGACAGCCTGCCTCCTGCCCCCAACAGCGAACACGACTAAAATCAACCACTACCAACCACGATTCACCCGCACCTACTGTCTGGACCCAAGCAATGGGGGTGCCTCTCCCCACCACCACCCCCAGCTCCAAAGGAGCCTAAGGCCTTACCTGGAAGTCGTACAAGGCCACGATATTTTCATGTTTCAATTCCTAGGACAGAAGACCGGGTTTCTCAGGAGAGGGTCTGGGGCCCCGGAGTCCACCCCCCGCCCCGCGGCCAAGCCCCACGGGGACCCACTCCCCCCACGGAGCCCACCCCCACGGGGCCCACCGCGCTCTGCCGGCTTCCCCATCGCCCTGCTCACCTTGAGAATCTTGATCTCCTTCCCCAGCAGCGTCTGCGACTTGGCGAGGTTCTTCTTGTTAATGCACTTGACCGCCACCTCCAGATCGTGCTTCTGAAAACAACACACGCCCCCGTGCTCAGCGCCGCGACCCAGGGCAGCCCTCCGGCCCCGGTGCGCCTGGGCCCGGCCTCACCTCCCGGTGGCGGCCCTTGAAGACCACAGCGAAGGCCCCGTGTCCAATCAGGTCCTTGCGGGAGAACTCGAACTGGCCCACGGCCTCCATGCCGCTGCGGCCGGGCTCCATGGCGCGGACTGGGCCGGGGGCTCGGCGGATGGCGAGCGCGGGGCGCTCAGGAGGAGGC